AAACCTAACTTAGTTAGTTAGTTTAGGTTACGGTTACCGTTAAACCTAAACTAGTTTTACGTTTTACGTTAGGACGGTCTACACTACTTATTACTTCGAGCGCTCTCTCTCTCTCTCTCTCTCTCTCTCTCTCTCTCATAATATAATTCTCCTGGGCCCTGTTTGGATGCACCCACTTATGATGAATATGTCGACGACCCAAATAACTTGGGTTGGAGCACAAGTGAAAATTTCATTTACCATCTAGAATACAAATTCAATGGATTAGCAGTCAGGGAGCAAGACTACAATTATTATGGTTTTGTATGTGATCTCATGCTTATCTTCTTTTCTTTCCTTTTCTTTTTTTTATTTATTTTTTAGTGTTAAGTAGATTTTCTTTGAGTATATGAAAAAAGAACAGTTCTAACAAAAACAAAAAGAAAGAAAGTAGAGAAAGTTTGTGAGAAGAAGAGGCCAAAGGGACACCAAAAAGACGTTAAACAATCTCTGTGTGGCCTCCTTTGCTAAAACATCAGTTATGCTATTCTTCTCTATTTTGACATGTGGGAATACAAACTTATGTACCTAAAGTAAAACAAACTTAGGTTCAACCCAAGAACTTGTGTTAGAACTTTGTTGTCAAGCAAAGAGGCCATTTAAGTAGCTCTATGGGGCCTAAAGTCAAAAGATTATCACTTGCAAATGGTACCCCTTAATACAACGCAGTTGTTCTTTAGTAAAAATTTCAGCTTTATCTTTTTAATGATAACAAAATTACCTATTGTCATTCAGTGATAATTATACGCACACCCTATATCAAACTATCACTAAAATTAACTTTTTAAAAAATCATAGAGTTGGTAAATCACCATTCATGATCCATTTTAACTTTTAACCTTTAAATTTAGGTTGAAGGGGTGTATAATTTTAAACTACCTGTCTTTCACATGTATTAGTTTCGAGAGCAATCCTATTCAACTCAAAACACCCTTATCTTGTATTGAAACAAATGTGTTTGAATTTTATACCCTTATCTTGTTTTCAAACGAACGTGTTAGAATTTTAGATGAAAATAGCTTTGAAATGTCATGGAATAATGAAGTGTTTAAAACCCACCTATACCGATAGGGAATCTTATCTAAATAATAGATAAGGTTGTATTAATGTGCAATTAATAGTTTTTAACTTCCTATGGACCCTCAATTCATTCGCTTGACAATATTTTTATCTTTCATATGCACCTAAAGATAAAATATATAATAACTCCAAATCCAACTAGAGTTTTTATCTTTGTATATCAGTTTATATTCAACTAATATCAAAAAATTATGTACTAGCTTTATTAGTTTTTGGTTTCCAGTAACTTTTATTCATTTCCTAAAAAATAAATAAATAAATAAATAAATAATGCCAAAAACTGTCAAAAAAATCTTTCTTTCTCTCTTCATGCATCGCCAAGGGCTGCATGCTCGCATACAAATACATATTATACAATATTAAGCTCACCTCGGACAGGAAAGTAAACCGTAGTATAGATGTTACATTGAATTTTGCCTTTTTTTTTGTTATCTTACTTGTTTTTTGTCATATCTATGCTTTTTAGACGTGCTTGTTTAAGCTAGCAAACCAAAGCTTACTTTTCCTTGATAAATCAAGGCAAGCTCTATGGTTCAAGCAGTCACCTTTGCTCAAACATGTCCAAACTCAACAAGGCTAAGCTCATTGACACCCTTACCATGGTCCACTTTGTAAGAGACCGGCGAGCTGGCTCAAAACCGTATCGGTTCGATCACAATCAGCCAGTGGGCATCTTGATCTAAAACCCTCTGTGACCAATTCTAAGACCCTCTGTGACCAATTCTAGCTCGAGTTCCACATAGCGGTTCAGCTTTTAAACATCAGTTCTAAGTAAGATTTAAGAAAATGGAACAGTGATGATCACCTATTTGGAAAACCTGTCCAAGTCGACGGATCAGCAGTCCAGCCCAGTGAACCGGCCAATAAAAAAATTCAGGACAAAAAATGAAAAAAATAAAAAGGTGAGAACAGTTCTGGCCGGTTCTTTAACAAAATCTACCGGTTTGGTCAATGAACTAGCCAAAACCGGCCAGTTCATAGTGGGAACCGTACCAATCCTGCGAGTTCCTTGTCTGGATCAGCCGGTGCTGAACCGAATCGCCATATTTCTAAACATTAGGGCCAAGGAAGCTTCTTTCTTTCTTTTCTTTTTTTTGTGAAGTGTACCATACTACACTGATGGTGTATGGCATACGATTAGGTACATTATTGGGGCATCTATCATGCATCTGTGTGTGTGTGACATAGTGGGGGTATTATTTGTACTTGGGTCAGAATGTGGTTCTATAAGTTGGTTGCAATTGATGTACGGCATTGTTAAAGGAAATAGTATAGTGGATGCTGCAATGTACCATGTCTTCTTTTGTCCCCAGGGAGCACGCCATGGGGATTTAATGTCCAAAACGCACAGTACACTACACCCCATATGCTCCATGCTGCATAAAAGTAAAGCATCATTAATAGTAACCACGGGGATGAATGGAAGGACGAACCAGATGACCTGCGCTTGTACAACAATTTACCTCCATTATATCTCTTCATGGTAGAGAAGATATTTGTGTGTGCCCTCCATTCCTACCATTAACAAATTAAAAAAATAAATAAATAAATATATATATATATATATATATATATATATATATTTGTGTTTGTGTGGTATTAAGCTGTGTTGTCAGGATTGCTTTACTTCAGCCTGAAAGGTCGAAGCCTTCAGATTGTAGACCTAGACCGAAGCAAAACAGAGCCTAGGCTTCTGGCCGAAGCTTCGGATTTTAGACCTAGACCGAAGCAAAACAGAGCCTAGTGCTACCGTTTTGGTTAGCTTCGAGCCGCTTCGTTCCGCTTCGGGCCGATTTGGCCAAAGCTTCTGCCCCTTCAGCCAAAGCAAAGAAATATCTATATAAAATTTTTTTTGAAATTTTTTTTTATATATAAATATAAAATTTATTTATATTAAGCTTAAAAAAAAATCTAAAGTTTTCCTCCGAATTGGCCGAAACATTGAATTGCTTCCTTTTTCCTACCAAACCAAAGAAAACACCAAAGCAAATCTAACAACATTGGTATTCAATGTTAAGAAATCCATTGAGCTGACTCAAGAGTTGATTGGCTAGTCAGAGGCGAAACCTCTAAGGACGCACCAATCTTACATGGCTTTGTTATTTTGCCATAATATCGGACAAGTTCTGTTCCAAGTTCCAACTGAGTTGATTCGAATTGGGTGAGGCAGATTTGCCAAGTGTGACCCCAAGCCTGGGTTCACAACAATGTTAAAAAACACCAGAATAATGAATCGGCCCTGTTCAAAAGTTTAAATAAGGTTTGGGATTCTCAAATCATTCTAAAAACATTTTCATCACATAAAATATTATTTAGTATGATTTTGGGGTGATTTGGTCCAAATCTTGATCAATTGAGGGACATGGACTAGTCACCCACAAGATCAAGTTTCTAAGGTTGCAACATATAAACTTCTTTTTATTTTCTAAGGAAAATGGTTTGATAGGGCTGTAATCCTAACAAAATAAGTAAATCCGCACCGCATAACTCATCAAAAATTGCAAGTCAAGTATTAGAAAACTTTTACATTGATCATCTCAAGTTGATCATTATGGATGTGAAAAAAAATAGGATTTCAAGCTGTGAAGATAATGTATATTATAACAAATTATATAGATTGTCCATTTTGTCTTAAAATAAATGTTTATTGATCCATAAGATCTGTACTATTTTTTTAAGTTTCATATTTTATTGTCGGTGTTGAAAATTGATTTCACCGAAAGTACTTTATAAGGATTTGAGATGAGCCTTTATTTTGTTTTCGTAAAACCTAAGCCTTATGGAAACCTCATCCTTTTCTAATCACTGATTTACAAACTCTGATACGACTAGAGAGCAGAAGTTGTGTGTACACCATGCTATACAAGTTTTAACAATCACGGTAGTGGCCCATGGTCGGTGGTTTAACATAACGCTGTCAATATTAACCTTCTCTGTGTTTTAAAAGATGGCACTTTCCGACCAAATGTGTAACGAGGACAGAAACATTTGGGCGGATGACTTCATTGGTCTGGCCCTCTTGGGCTTTTGGGATTCCCAGCAGTAGGGTGGCAACGAGTCCGATCCAGTCCGTCTGGACCCCGACCCAAAAGTTATCGAACCTGATTGGACCCAAAGTTGTCGGACTTAGACTTGGATCTGGACCGACCAAAAAATAGAAATATATATTTAAAGGGTGTGGTTCTTATAAGGTTGCAACCATAAACAATCCAATTACGGCATACCTCCAAATTTTATCATAACACGTAATTTTGATGGAAAAAATTTCGTAGGATTATCTCAAAATCTATTTTCATATCTAATTATAAATTTTAAACTCCAAAAATGGTTAAAATTAAGTAGATCTATTAACATATAGAAATCTTGAAAATGGATGGTCTAAATAATGTATCGCAAGATGCACTACTTTTAGGACTCAAAATCTTTTTTTTCCCCATATTCTTACATCTTGATGTCGAGATGATCAATTAGAAGTTTTTTCGACATTAAAACAACTTTTTCCAATGGATATTTGAAGTGCATATCTAATTCTACATTTTAAGGT